AAAATGTGATATTTTTAAAAGAAATCTTTGAGCTTTTTATTCTCAGATTGCAATACGAGAGTTAGATTTTTTAGTTGGCAGCATCTTTTTCGACACAATGTTTTTTTTACAATAAATATAAGATGTTCTTTGCAGAATGCCTATTTTCTGGCCGCATGTGAGCGAGATTTTTATTTTATTTTTTTTTCTACTGAGACGAGGGAATTATGGTGTGGGTCGTGGGTGTTGGGTGGAGGAGGAGGGGTGAGCGGCGTGAGTTAGGAGGGGGTCTGTGGGGTGGCACACACACTTTTATGTATGAAGGTTTTTTTTATAGCACTTTTCCTTGCAAAAATTTGTTACGTCAGCGGATCATCCAGTAAATGGGGCTGCGTGTGTTTGTGTTGCGGCGTGCGCCTGCGTCGCTCGCAGCCTGTGTGCGTGCGTCTCCGCGTGTGTTTATCTTTTCCTGTAGAATGCTCCCGCTCTCTCTCTCTCCTCTCTTCTGCTTCTCTCTCTCTCACGCTCTCTCTCTCTCATTTCTCTCTCTCTCTCTGTCTCTGCAACTCTCGCTCTGCAGAGTTGGGGTGGGGTCAATAAACAAACCTGATGGTGTTTTCACTGCAAAATCAGATGGAAATTCTTCTGGTAGCGCCTATTTATTTTAACGAAAAAATGCATTTTGCCAAATAAAGATTTAACATTAATAATAGTACTCGATTGTTTCATACAGCTAATGTGTTCGCTGCTTTTTTTCTCAATGTAAATGTTGGCCTTTGTGGTTGTCATTTTTCCGGTTGTAATCAATTCATGCACTTTGGAGCTAAACGGAATTTGACCAAATCTGCTTTTTCAATTAAGGTCGTTCCGTTTTCTTTTAATATAAATAATAGATAATTTATTTCTAATAAATGTCGATTTCGATTGTGCTGGCCCACTTTGCCACAAGTGTTTCATTCATGAAATGTAATAACTTGTCTATTTATCCTAGCTGATGTCTGATATAAATTAATAAATAGGCTATTGATTATTTTGGGCTAAGATGTCGGAAAACCTCGACTCACAGCTCGGGGACCGTCACGATATATTTAGAGCGAAAATTAATCATTCTTAATCATTATGGAAATGTAGGCTACACCGCCTGCCGCCGCCGTCCACCAGTCCGCCGGCCGCCGCCGTCGGCTGCTGCTGCTTTAGTCACACCACCATCATCCTTCATCATCACCAACACCTTCATCCAATTAACAGGCTTGTTTAAACAAGTTCTGGCAGGAGGCGAAGCCTTGAAACCTGTAATTAATCAGTTATTCGTCCACAGCGCGTGATGAAGCCGGCACGACAACTTCCTCAATAAACAGTGGATATAGTTCATTTTGACTGCAAGGACTTCTTATATGTCGACCCACTGCCGGGACTACAAGGATTCATGATGCTGGTTGGTGTGTGTGTGTGTGTGTGTGTGTGTGTGTGTGTGTGTGTGTGTGTGTGTGTGTGTGTGTGTGTGTGTGTGTGTGTGTGTGTGTGTGTGTGAGAGTGTGTGAGAGAGAGAGAGAAGAGAGAGAGAGGAAATGTTCGATCATGCCGGCAAACCATTCAAGTGTCTCTCTCAGCATATGTGAACATGAGGCACATCAAGTAGATACAAGCCACTTCCCGACATATTGAATACACACACACACAACACACACACACCCACACACACAAACACAATAATTATATATATATATACACATTACATATAATGAATATATATGTATACCTACATATGTGTGTGTGTGGGTGTGTGTGTGTCAGCCAGACTTCAAGTGAGTCAGGTTATGGATTAATTTATAGGGGCCTTTTTGCATAAAAAATGCAAACAAACATCTAATTTCTGCTATTTATCTGGTAAAAGATGTATCGTAGTTGCAGATGGTGGCAGGATATGTCCATATTAAAACCAGGCAGGAGACATATTTCAAGCCATTGGTTTAGTTCTCTTACAGCCTTCTGTTGTAGCAAATGAAAAATAACCTGCTTTTAGACGTGGACTCTCAGAGCAACTATTTCAGCATTTCCAAATAATTTTGAGGCATGATTAGTGTGTTTTCTTTCAGCAGTAACCATGCAAAGGTTTATTGTGCTGGGTGATATTGGATTGGGGGGTGGGTGGAGGGGGGGGGGTTGAGCCAAGAAAGGAGACAGAAAGACAGAGACAGGGAGGATTAATAGGCTATGGAGAGATTTTCAGTCTGTGCCACTGTAGACATAATGTATCAGCTGTATGAGGCTGTGGAAGGAGGAGCATGTATGAAGATTAGAAGACTGGTCCTCTGTGTCTGCCTGATGATTGCAATAAAGGTTATTGTCATCACAGGAGGGATGGCATTAACTCCTCACTCCAGCATCTGATTTTAAAAGGCCTGTACTGAGTTTTACATTTACCAGTCTGGACTTTTCTCAACTGTTCTCCAGCTCGTCCTGTTTGACGTCACCCAACCTCATACAAAATGTTGTCTCAGTTGCGCGTTTTCTTCTCGAGGAGGAATGCAATTTCACTTTCATCAAAATGCCCTCATCGCCTTCCTTTATCCCCAGTGAAAATGACATTTCACCAAATGTCATTTCGTCCGTGTTACACGGTTCTTCTTTCGCACAAGGAGGCATAATTCTACTTGTTAAGTGAAGCTTTCGGCAGTGCGGACCTGTCAGCATCGTGCCGCATTTGGCAAGAGAAGCCTTGAAAGGTTATACAAGTGTGTCGTGTTGTCAGCTTCTCTGGTTGTTTCTTCTTTTCTGCTGCACAAACAGGCAAAAAGGTTGTGAGCGGGGAAGATCTGAGAAGAGACCTACCCGACTGCTACTGCACATCACACGTGTTTAGCCACGAATGAGGTGGTTAAGAACCTGGAGAAATTTGCCACACGGCTTGCAAAGACAAAAGGTTTCAACCCAACACCTCAGACAGTTTGAAGTCATTGTTGCTGGCGCCGTATTGAGAAATCTTAAACCTAAAGAAATCTTATACCTCAGTTCCAATGAAATAGTGCTTTAGCGGTTTTCAGAAAGACTCCTGGTTGCCTTGTAACAGGCCAGGGCTGTCATGCTTCTGTTTGACCCTCACCCGGGCGAGTCTTAAGGATCCTAAAACTGCTCACAACTCCTTCTTGCTCCGGTGTATCACACATTTTTAACTAATTTCATTCAGAAATTTAGTCCTTCAAGCCTCAGACACATGCACGCCAAAAGACTTCTCTTGATACACCACCTTCAGTTGTGCTGTATTTGCAGAAATGAGAGAGACCATGTTGTTGTTTTTGCTCTTCTAATGAGATGCCAAGTGATTTATTTATGAATTACTTGTTTGGAACAGCCCCCTTGTGCAGTGTGCATTTTTTTTTTTATCCTCTTTGGAGTCATGTCGCTCAGTGATTGCTGATGCAACTCTTTGTCATCCAGAGTTTGCCCTCACCTCCTGTGAGCCTTCGGGGAGGGCTATATCTATCTTGGCATGTCCCCGGGTGTGTTGGAGGTGGGAGTGACTCATTAAGCAGGTGTGAGCATCCACTCCCATACTGCTACATGCCAAACAAGAGCTCTCCAGCTCATAAGCTCGTGCAGGGAAGAATCATGATGGCAATATAGCAAACACATCACAATAAATCTTTACACTGGACCAGGGCCAAGTCACAAGGATAATGAGCTGCTATTTCCCCATTATGGCCACTCTGGTATTCATCAGAGGTGGAGTTTCCAAACGTTCATCACCCATTGAAAGGTTGTGGCTCCACTGACATCTTTATTTGAATTGTACATTATAAGGGGAAATGAATTGTTCCCAGTTTGTTCCCGATGAGGGGAAACAGAGTAACAAGAAGCAAAGCAGTTTCGTTCTTCGAGTAAGCTCTGTGTATATAATTTGAACGCGTTTGTTTAGCTGACATTTGGTAATAATAACCTGTGAAAGCTGGTTACTACACTGCAGAGCACTTGCAGGGGAGTCATCCATCTGTTGTGGAGATGGCTCACTTTAAAAAGCAAGGAGAAGCAGAATTGTTTTCAATAAGTTCACATCTTTGTTAGCCTCCGGTGCCTGTTGGCATCCGAATGTTTGAACACCACTCACATATTACAGCAGCAAAATTACAAGCCTCTTCGAAGATGATATTCAGAGGTTTATATATGATAGAAAATGACTCAAAATTTCACATCATACAGAGTAGCCTACATTATATGAGAAGGTTGGGAGAGTCTTCTAGATCTTGGATGATGGTGGACTCATACTGCCTTAAATAGATCAAATGGTGAAATAAAACGTTCACAAATATACACTTAAGACCCAAATACCTTTTTTTCTTAAAGCTTATTTTGATATAAATTTCCTTGGCTCCTCGGTATCTGCAGACCGGTACAAGAAATGCTTATTTTTAATTCTCTGAATATCTAATTTTACACAAATAGGCCACCTCTAAATGGCACGCAGAGTGTATCACGACTTGGTGGAGACGCGCTGTTACGCAAAACCTTCAAAAAAAAAAAAGAAAGAAAAAAAAAAAAGAAGCCACCTCTTCGGCCTCAGAAAGCAAAATACGGAAGAGGAGAGGCTTCGCTTGTGCTTAATACATTGCCAGGCATTATGGTGTTGATGCAGGCTGCACGGTATGCGGACAAACAAAAGCACATAATGCACACTGAAAGCGCATTAATAGTTCCGCCTCGGGGCTGTTTAAACAGGAGTTTGGTGGCGACCAGTCAGCCAGCGGTAGGTCACATGTTGCAGCGTCATTGTGTAGTAAAGTTACTGTAGTTGCAAAGAGGCTCCTCATTTCAGCTCCAGAGGTCTCTCATCCCGTGGTGCTGCTGCTGCTGTGGCGTTTTCAGCATGCGACAACTTCAGTTTCAGACGATCTCCAAAGGAGCCGTGCAGCCATGGGAGTGCATTACCTCATCCATGCAATTTCCACCATCAATAATTTAATCTATTTGCTCCAAAGCTGAAGAGATATCCTGAAGCTTGTCGGGAGGGTACAGAGAGGAAAAAAAAAAATCGCTTGAGTAAATTACTCAGGGAGTTGTCCAAAACATCCCAGATGACACCACTGTCCTGTTGAATGGTCTGTTTTACGACTGGGCAGTAAAAGGTAGGAGATTGTATCTGCTTGTTTTTCGATGAGTTGTTTTAAACACTTTGGCTTTCCTTGCTGCTGCTTGAGGGAAAGAAAAAAAGACAGAGATGTGCGTGTGTCTATGTGTGTGTCTGTGTGTGTTGTTTTTGTCTGGTGTGGTGGTAGGGGGTGGTTGTGTGTGTGTGTGGGGGGGGGGGGGGGGGGGGGGGGGGGGGGGTGATGGAGGTAAGGGGAGGGGGGGGTCTAAAAGTAGCTCGATCAAGTCCGGTTATCCTGCGAACAGACAGCGCTGCAGCCCGAGAGGGGATATGCGTAACCTTATCCTCCCGTTCATTAATAAAAAACGGGAGTTATTATGTTGATTGGGTTTCCAGTGGAGAGCACGAGGTCCGCAAGATGTAATCTGGAGAAGAAGAAGAAGAAGAAGAAGAAAAAGAAAAAGAAGAAGAAAAGAAAACGACTGTTGTTTCATTATGATTAGAGCAGCCCGAGCAGTGTGGCTGGTTATTATTAGTAGCCTATTTGTAGTCAGTAACAAAGTGGAAACAATCCATCGCGTCTCCGTATGAAATCACCCACGTTTGAACATTTAACTTTTATGCTCATAAACAGCTCAATAAACTATTTGTTGAGGGTGTTTGTCTGTATTTGCTCATTTAACCTCGGACTCCCCCCACACACACACACACACCCACCCACCCCCCTCTTCACTGTGAGCAGGCAGGGGAAAAAAACTGGTGTTTGGAGGGGAAAAAAAAAACTTTGATGAACTCATTAAGACTTTATAGGAAACCCGAGACCTAAACGCCTAGCTATGTCGGCCAACATACACTAGGTCTACTTCTCACTGTTGTGTGTTTGCACCGTATTACTTCACATTACTTGCCAAAATGAGCACGGATTAACGAAAAGTCCCATTTATGGAGTGGTGGAAAACTGGCTCATTTGTGGCAGCCTCATGTGAAAATATCTTGTCCAAGAGGATAAGTTCAGCAGTGCACGAGGGCTGGATGGATAATGGTGTAATGATGAATTAATGATGTACTTTCCAAAAAAATGCAAAGTAGTGCCAATTTTGTTGTCAGAGTAGAGACTAAATACCATATAAGTGAACTTTATAGTCTATTTACAATTACAAAAACTGGTTGTGTGTGCCAGAAAAAGTCTATCTATCTATCTATCTATCTATCTATCTATCTATCTATCTATCTATCTATCTATCTATCTATCTATCTATCTATCTATCTACCTACCTACCTACAGGAGAGAAGGAAAGGGGAGGAAGGTGGAGGGAGGGAGAAAAAGAAGGAGCTTTTACTATTTCACGGTCTCACACGCCATCTAGTGGACATAGTTGTGAACTGCAGCGCGGTTAGTTTGGAGCTATATGTTGGTGTAATTTGAAGTGGTTTGGTTTCAGATTTGATGATTCGGGTTTCAATGAACTGTGGACTTTCTTTTGTTGAACTTCAATGAGAAAAAGCAACGTTTTTGAGTTCATTAACACTGATAAAGTAGAGTATTGCTCATTTAAGGATGCGTATGTAGCCTCAAATGAGAGTCCGTCATGGCTTTACTAAACTGTATATGCTGCTACTGTATTGTTTCAATTGTGCATTGTTGCACACGCAGTGGGAGGGAGGCAGAGGCTCATTTGGATGACATAAATCAGTCAACAGCTATCTGAATGCTGGGCTTTCTGTGGCTGTGGCCGGGGTTGGCCTGGAGGCCAGGTATAATCCCTTAGTGATGCTCATCTATTACTAAACGTGCTCTGAAACTGTGTCAGATTGGAAACAGATCTGGAGGAAGCAAGCTTCCACATGTGTCAGCCATTACTGCAGACAACTCTAATTGCGTTTTTTAAGAGCTGCATAGTGGCGAACAAGGGGTCCTTGGGTAGAAATTTTGATATCATATGCTGCATGTTTTTGTTTTGTTTTTTCAAGCTGAACATTTGGCATTGTGCACTATACATGTTGAACGTGACAAAACATGTTGCTAGGTAAATAGCTGCAGCCGACACAGTTCTTGAGGAACTGAACAAAGACGGGTGCCCTCAAGGGAGTAGTGGTTGAGGCAGAGAACAAATGTTGCTATAGGTCACACATTTCTATTCAAATGTAGTGGGCACATTTCCCTCTTTTCATCTCTCCTGTTTGATGTTTATTTTCCCTTCTAACAGTAAAGATATCATGCGCGCTTAGTAAAGATGAAGCCATAAAGTGTGCTGACATGTGCAGGGAGTCTGGGGAACATTACTGAATGTGTAATAAAACGAGCCATGCTAGTCCTTTCATGCTTTAGAGAAACTTTTCAGCATCTGTCAAAGGAGACATTTATCACTTTAATCCCCACCTGGCACAAAGAATAAATGTGAGGGTAAGTTACATATCCCTGCCATACAGCCGTGCTCTCAAAGCAGACGAACAGGTGGTCATCTGGAGCTGCAATGTCCACACACTCAGCTGCTCCTATTGTTCTGGGTGTTTCATGCTCTAGGTGTGTTGTCATGTATGAAGGCGTGTATGAGCAGTGGTTATTGCGGGCTTTATTCCCCTCCACTCTGTGTTATTAGCTCAGTGCTCAGCGCGGAAATGATTTACATTCTTAGTCAAAAGACCTGTCGAATTTAGACGGCCATGCATTAGAAGACACTTTATGTGCCATGGCTGGATTGGTTGGATGTACCTGAATTTCATTTTAAAAATGCATATTTTCAACAATCTGGATGGAGGAAACACTTTGCTCAACCACCTCCTTGTGTTAGATAGTCTCATAGCCTAACCGACGACTGGTCCACAGGCTCCAAAAAGTATATTCTTTTCCAGGCATTCCTCCATATGTAGTCCCTCTTTTGCTTTATTATTCCTGCTCATTATGTTAACTCACAAGCCGCGTTTTTATTAACTGCGAAATCCAGCAGTGCACATAAAATGTTCCTTCACTGGATGTATAAAACAAGAGCAAACCAATCAGTTGTCACATTTAGCCTTGAGTAGATATAAGCCAGAGCTTCTCCACCAGTCCCATAGCAATTAAATGATTCATTGGCTTTATCACATTTTAACAGGATGTTGATTGAGAGCATAAGCCATATTGATTGTACTGATGGAAACAGGAAATCACAGAGATAGAAATAAAATCATTTGTTGTTCCCGGTGTGAGGATACCCGGGGGAATGGCATGCAGTTGCACACTGTTGAGTGGCATTACCCCCAGCAACCTCCTCCCCTCCATTCTCTCCCCTATGGAGACCTGGAAGAGACGTCATCTGTGGTTGTTATGCTGCGAAATGACGCTGGCAGTCTCTCCACCCCCTGCTACTGCAATATTACCCCTGTGGTCTGTTACGGAAGATGCAGCACTCTTCGTCTGCATCATTTCCAGCATGAAGTTTGACGCCTAACAGTAATCAGCCCTCTGCCTTCATTTCCCTCATGTGGAAGTGGAACCATTTGAGTGCGATGCTGATAATAATATCAGCCTAAATGCATCCTACACATAGAGCTCGTGACTGGCCTCAATCCTGTAAACCTACATGATTTTCTGTGCTGGGAAGCCTCACGGAAAATTCTTGGTTATTGGAGCCAAAACCTTAACAATACTGAGGGGTTCATAATCCAGATTAATGCACGCTAAATAGGCTTTTATTAACAACATTTAATGAAAACATTGATAATTAGCTCCTGATTCTTGGCTTTGTCCTCATTGTTGTTTTAGTTGGTGAGAGGAAAAATACCCCCATCTCCCTGCAAACACATACAAGCCAGCCCCTCCCCATGCCCTCCCCCTAACACATACACTCACACACTCTGGAGGAGCACGTCACTGAGCTCGGGGAATGAGTGGCTCATTAAGAAGAAGGATGTGATATTCTGAATAGAGACTGTGAGACTCCCAGCACATCTATTTTTAGACGAGATATCTCTATGGCAGTCACCGTGGTGTTGGTTAATTGCAGCCACGGCCCCAGATACCAATTAAGAATGAAACAAATGCTTTTAAGGTGGGGTTTTTGCTCCTCCCTGCTGTAAAGGTCCTCGTGTCCATTCTTAGTGGGGGCAGTGGAGTGTTTGCTCGGCGTGTTTTCCTGTATCAGGTTGGGACATGCAGAGTGCAGTCAAAGCCTCGGCCAGGCTATTTTTAAATGAGCCCCTGTGGAAAGCAAGATCTAGATTTCTTTTTCATTATGGTTGCTTTTATATCTCTGGCTGTTGGATGTCCACCAATTCATTGATTTGCTGTGAATCTTAGAGCTTCTCAAAGGTAAGGGATGAATATGTGCTCGGGCAATTCGCTGGTTAAGGATGTATGTACAGTATTTCGGCTACACCTGGCTCCTTGTGGCTCCTTTTTGTTTTTTTGTTTTTTTTTCTCCCCTGGCAGTGCTTTGCTTATCTTGCGAGCAGCTCTCCGGAGCCTCGAGATTGGTACTTTACAGTGCGGGGAGGATGACACATCTTTCTGTCATTCAGTTTTCTCATGACATCCTGTTAGTTCATCCTGCAGTGCTCTCGCCATCCACCTGCCAAATACAAACATTGTCCCTCAATAAACTCCTGCTTCCCATTCATGACTATAAGGTTTAGTATCAAACCTGTCTTGGGAGCACGGACCCGTTTTTTTTTTTTTTTTTTTTTTTTTTTAATAAATAATACTGGAGCACCGGTGTTTGTCAGAGCTGACGCAAACACAGCATTTCCCACTCAGTCAGTAAGTGCTGTCCATGCTGGAAGTTCCCTGAGTGTTGCTAATGGTGATTTTGTTCATGGGGTAATGTCATCGTCAAGAGAAGATACATGAGCTCTTCAAACAAGCAAAACAAACAAAACCATATCCTTATGTCAACACGCTGGCTACAGAGCCTTTCCAGGTGTATATTAAAAATACAGCATGTCCTTTATAAATTGAAAAAAAAAAAGAGGGGGAAGATATGAGCTTTCAAAACAGACAAGTCAACTCAATAAGTCAGGCAGTGAGGGATGAATGACAGGTTTGGCCATTATAAAACTACACATCCTGGAACATTCTATAAATAAACTGTACAGTTTAATACACCAGTGAAAAAAAAAAAGCTCATAAATAATAGCAAGCCTGTAAGGATGTAGTGACATCTATTTGTGTAATCTTATCTTTCATAATAAACGATCTCTCTGATGCTCTGCACAGCTTTTGTGCATTGCTGCCAACAAATAAAAATCAAAGCCAGACCTCACATAGGAACAGAATGATTACAGTTTGCAAACAATTTGAAAACGCTGATGACACAGTGCCAATATCGGGTTAATAAAAAACATTTTGTGATTATTTCAAAGCCACTGGCTCTCTTTTTGGCGTACAAAGAAAGAGTAGAGGGTGTAAATAAGAGTAGAGGCTTACGTGGTGCATTATGGATCAGAAATAAGCTAACTTCATTGAAAATGCTCTTTGACTAACTATCTTGTTCTCTCTCCCCCCCTCCTTCCCTCTTGTTTTCTGTCTTTGTTTCCCCCTCCAGTTCCACCAGGTTAGAAGAGTGATGACCATCCTGTTCCTTACTATGGTTATTTCATACTTCAGTTGCATGAGAGCTGCGCCCCTGAGAGACGCCCCGGGCATGCGGGGCCATCGGACGGAAGGCTACTTGGGCGCTGCTGCGACGGCCGCACGAGGCCATGGGACTCCACAGAGTGGTGGTGGGCCAGGCCAGCGCGGGGAACTGCCCTCACTCACAGACACGTTTGAGCAGGTGATAGAGGAGCTGCTGGAGGTGGAGGGAGAGGCGGCACAGCTGGGACAGGGGGCTGATAAGAGCCAGGGAGGTGGGGGCCCGTCCTCTGTGGTCACCACGGAGACCAAGGATGTCGACCTGTACGACTCGCGGGTGATGATCAGCAACCAAGTGCCTTTGGAGCCGCCCTTGCTCTTTCTTCTGGAGGAATACAAAAACTATCTGGATGCCGCTAATATGTCCATGAGGGTGCGGCGACACTCCGATCCCTCGCGGCGTGGAGAGCTCAGTGTGTGTGACAGTATTAGCCAGTGGGTGACAGCTGTGGATAAAAAGACGGCAATAGACATGTCTGGGCAGACAGTTACCGTCATGGAAAAGGTCCCTGTCCCCAATGGCCAACTGAAGCAATACTTTTATGAGACCAAATGCAACCCCATGGGGTACACAAAGGAAGGCTGCAGAGGAATAGACAAGCGGCATTATAATTCCCAATGCAGGACAACCCAGTCCTACGTGCGAGCGCTTACCATGGATAGCAAAAAGAAGATTGGCTGGCGGTTTATAAGGATAGACACTTCATGTGTATGCACATTGACCATTAAAAGAGGGAGATAGTGTATAAAATGTATAGATTTTATTGAAGAGTTTAAAAAAGAGAATAAAGAGAAAATATCTATTTGTATATATACATAACAGGGTAAATTATTCCGTCAAATGAAAATTTTATGGACTGCATGTAAAAAAAGATGAAGTTTATACAGTAAAAGTGATACTACAGTCTATTTATTGAACATATTCATGACCTTGTAAACAATTAAAAAAAATCTGATCAGTCATTTGCGCCCAGTTTAAATTACTATATCACATTCCTCAAGACATTGTGATTTGTTTACGTTGCCAAGAATTACAAAATGAAGGAAAAAAAACAGGCAAGGAATGAGAGAGGACAGTTCCATCTTCAAAAGCTTGCATGCTGCTTCAATTGTGAATTGAGAAATTCTCCACTTACAAAAAAGGATATGATGCTGACCAAAAAACATTCCGTTTACATATTCAGCAGAAAACAATTTTCCTCTCAAGTAATTTATCTGTTTACTGTTCTAAACTTCTCAAGGTAATGTTGAAATTACATACTATGTCAAGGTGCTGTTGTCAAAGCTTTGCTGTTTATTTTTTTATCCCCACCAGAGGACGAGATATATATAAAAAGATTTATCATATATATATACACATATATATATATGTGTATATATATATATATATATATACACATATATATATATACATAGAAAATTTATTCATTGACATGTTTCTGGGTTAATATTATTCATTTTGTATGTTGTGAAGTTGTTTGCAATATTAAACTGAAATATTTGAAGAAATAAAAATGACTATAGGCAACTGAAAAACAAAATCAATGTTGATAAAGTTTCAACAGTGCATTTTTAGGTAGGATAAACTTTACTGTACAGACAGGCAGGCCGGGAGGAAGCAAGGCACATACATACACACACACACGCATGTGCTCAAACTCTGCTCCATAAACAAACAATGGAATTTTCCATTTTTACAGGCTGCAAGAAAATAATATGTTTTCAGTAGAAGAAAGTCACTGCATTGGATAATGCATTAGCAAAAGCAATGCTGACAGCGTTACGGGTGGAGAGAGTGCATATTAAGCAGCTTCCCTGTGTTATTTTGAGGAGGGGAAAAAGTAGAAAAATTCTCCTAAACCACTTCCTGCTCCCCACCAGCACATTACTGGAACACAAACCTATGTGCTTTGATACTTGGGTGTTTATACACAGGGGTTCAGAGATTTACTTAATTATTACTCCAGGTGCACATGTGATATTTCACAATTACAAGAACTTAACCATCACAAGAAAAGCACCTGCACATACAAGCGCAGACTAGTACAAGTAGGCTACGGGTGCACATGAAGCACGCTTAAGTGTAACAGTGATGGATCCACCCACTCATACATTTGTGTGCATTCAAAAATATACACCCAACAATTTCTTAATACTGCGTGGTAATCCCATCTTTAAATCCTCTACAAAAAAAACAATCATCATAGATTTTATACAGCAGCACATTCACTTTGATCACAAGGAGAAGCCATTCCAGGTAACTGGTTTGGTGTGTGGGTTAAAAGACTGCTGCGGCTTCATATCAATATTCCCTCCAGCAGACTATAACTCAGTGCATTATATAGTGAGAACCCCTTCCTTGCCAAGTCTAGAGGCCATAGTTTAAGGTTGTAGTGAGATAACAATAAAATTTGCTTGAGTTTTCATCTTAATATCATTAAACACTTTCAAAGTGAACCACAATATGATATATTTCAGATCAATAAGGTACTCATGTATAAAAAAGCAGATACTAACTTCATCAACAGCTTCAATTAAGTCTGGTTTATTGGGGTTACATATGATCCAGCCATCTCATTTTGCTACTTCCTCATCAACCTGAAGGTAAGTGTGACCTCCGTGGAGAACCGGATCTGGCATTTTGAGATTTTGGAAACAGACTGCTGAATCGAGAAAACTTTTTTTGATGAGAAAAGAGAGAAAAGATGCTCCACTTTCCTCTCTGCTCATTTGGATCCTCCAGAGATGCCTGATGAAGATGCTGTGAGTTACTTTTATTATACAAAAGCTGAAGATAAATAGAGAGTCTTGAGAAAGATGACAAGCATACAGTAGAATACAGTCTCTCAAATAATCCACTGTCATGAATCTCCAATAAAAGGTACTGAGATTTCTTGCCATAGCCACACAAGCTAAGTAAGAATTAACATTATTCTAAGTCATTTCATTATCCTATGGGAAGAAAAACCGTTGTAATGCCTTGCTCTTCAAAGAAAATTCACCTTAAGACAGAATTGGAATGATTCAGTAAAATTCAATCAACATGTCTGAGCACTTTTTCATCTTCACAATACAGGACAATGAATCAAACCTTCTGGGACACATTTTGGACAAGGTACTCTTATCTCCTCCATTTATCATGAGCAGGAGCCTTGGGCTATTTTTGTTTGACAAAGCTGAGGTAATAGAAAATGTCAACTTCCAATCATACACTTATTAAAGTAATGAACAAAGTGTCTCTGAAATTACCAGTTATGTTGAAGCCAGGGTGAAGCCCATATTGTCTTCTGTGATCATAAATCATGCATGTGAATAGGTCTCGCAGTACAAGGTAGTAATTCTTTAAGTCGGAGCTATGATTGAAACCTTAAGACAAAAACAAGGGGAAAGAAAAACAAGGAATGAAAAATGCATTCTAACAGAACAAACCATGGGCCTATTGAAAAAGGGCAAAAATTGCTGCAGCTCCACTATATGTGGGTGCTACTTTCAATTTCATTATTCCTCTGGCCACACCCCAATCAGTGATGTCACAGCTGCTATATTTCATCAGCTGTTAAGGGCAGAGCCCTAAAGTGTCATCACCAACTGGGGTGTGGTCAGAAGTGAATCATGTTAGAAAGTTTCAGCTCACAGAGAGCAGTGCAGCAGCAACCCAGCACAGGCTTATGAACTGGAGTCTCAAGATGTGCTGCAGCTAACCAATAGAGGACAGTAGCGAGACTGATCACCCCAGGTATCAGCAAACAGCCAAGGAAGCCTATGGCTGGTCCCTTGTCACTAATACAAAGGATATAATGTAACAACCTTCAGCTGAAAACATCCATGTAGAGGCTGAGTACAGCTGTTAAATGAATGAAGATCGGACCCACATAATTTTTTGCTGATTGTGTGATTGTTAAATAGTGATATGGGACACAGTGGGCACCTTTTTCCTGGACTCTGGCCAACGAGATCTCCAACAGGTTAAACACAAGGCACTTAAGGATGAGCCCCCCCCCCCCATATTCCATGTCATCAGTAAACACAATTTACACAACCCACTCTCTATACTTGAAGTTAAACCTGAGTCACAGCAGTATATAACGTTTAGAGTGGGAATGAAGTCCAGAAATTATATGCACAAAGGCACTATAGGTGTAAGAAGGAATGATGCTCAAGAATAGAAATAACTTTCTACTAGGCCATGGGTGATACTGTGATATAGTGACATGTATTATATATGAAATTGTGATATATGCACAAATAAATGAGGTATTGGATAAATAGTTAATTACTTCTGAATTACTTGATTTGGCTTAGAATTTATTTTTGGAATTATTCCGAGAAAGCAATTTAAAACATTGGCTGATTCACAGTAGTTAGGGAAGATGCCTTCGGTGTTGGCTCACGGGCATCCAGCACCAACAGAAAATTTCGGAGGCTTTAACCACTTTACGTGGAGTACATGAACGCACCATGACACTGGCAGCTAGCCTAGCCGGCTAACTTGGCTAATCTGATTTATCGCTTGAGTTAAGCGCACGTAACGTTAGCCAGGATTACCAAATTTAGTTTTCCATATCTAGTGGTTAACGCAATATCCATCTAACATCAAACAGTCACTCATTACAAGAATGGCATCGCTTGGGGAGCCTGTGCGGTTGGAAAGAGGTAAAGTTAATTGGCTAGCTAGCGTTAGCTTAGAAATATTTGTTGTGCCACCAGGGAAATGTTATCCTAGCTTGCTAGCATTAGCTGAATACAGCTGGTGATTGTTTTGGATTGTATAGATTCTTCTTTAGTCGAATAACGTTACGTTGATGATGTCTTGCGGGTAGTAAATAATGTTTATGGCTTTATTTTAGTGTGTGTATTCTTGACGCCGAGCTTAAGTAACACCAGCTTTTACACCTTCATTGTACTTTTCGCACCAGCTAACTAGCTAATGTTAGTGACAACAGAGAGTGATCAGTTAACCGAGCTGGTTTGCTAAAGGTTCAATTCATGATAGCAGCATCAAAAAATAAGATTTATACACTTTGTTATTCTAGCTTCGTCATCATTAGCAGCGAGGATGCACAAGAAGAAATATTTATATTGCATAATTTTTTCAACCTCAGTTTTCCCTTTAGCATTAGCCGCCGCTGTGTCTGCTAACATACTGTGGTTAGACAGTACAGAAAAGCCCGATTTTAATTACAACAAACACCCCACACATATAACATTAATTTAGCCTGCAGAAAAGCATAAATACATGTATGTGAAACAGTCAATTTGCTGTTGGAGTTACTGATATGTTGCAGGAAGTTAATCACAGTAGCAATTCACAGATTGAATGAACAATGACTTTTCTTTCTTATTACAGTTTTAACACAACAAAAATAAACTTTAAATGCAAAATTTGAACAGCATACTGAATGTATATGGCTTATTACAATTATTACAGAGCCTTTGATAATGTTTGCCCCATCCCCTCTGTGGTGTACTTATTTGTAAAACAAGGAGTTAATGATATGCTGGCTATAAAATTTGCTTAATGAAGTTGCAGCATATCATTTAGTGTATCATTTTCCTCTTAAGCCTGATATATTTAGGATAGCCATATTGAGTTATGTAGCTTAATAACAATGTTTATTTATGGGTATTAAACAGTGCTGTAAGCCAAGATGAGCTTCCCCACAGAGACAAGCATTTATAACCGGAACATATGTAGTTCAAGTCAAGGTAAATTCAGTTTAAAACTAATCAAAGACATGTTAATTGACAGCAAATTTATTCTGGTTTTAATAATTAGGAAATAATTTTAGACATTTATTAAGTGATAACACCAAACATTTGATAAGCTTAGTCATAGTTTCTTGGTTTTATATTGGGGCAGACTGAGTACTGACATTCACACAGGCAGCAGTTGTTTCCAGTGTGAACATCTCCATTTGCAGAAATTAGTGAAAACTTTGATGGAGACATATGTGTTTTTTGTTGACAGATATTAACCGGGCTATTGAGCTGCTTGATAAGCTCCAGAGGACGGGGGAAGTGCCTCCTCAGAAGCTGCAGGCACTGCAGAGGGTCTTACAGAGTGAATTCTGTAACGCTGTCAGAGAAGTGAGACACTGAGTCTTTGTGTTATTCTTAAAACATTTCATTGTGGCATTAGAGATGGCATTAGTTCATTTCTCCTCTTCTGATGTTAAACTTAAGTGTTTAAAAACTTGAGTTTGGTTTGATTACTTCTTCAGTTTTTAGAAATGTGGACAGATGTTGCTGGGATGTGATGAAATATTGTCCAACAATGTCCCTTCAGGTGTATGAACATGTGTATGAAACAGTGGACATCAACAGCAGTCCTGAGGTCAGGGCCAACGCCACAGCTAAGGTAGACCCAAGTCAAATACCATTTTAATAAACAAGCATTTGCACACCTTTTTCTTATCTTAATTTCAAACTATTTGTTTCTTAAAGGTTCTCCAGTTGAACACTTCACATTGTGTGTAGTGTGGTAAATACAGTATATTCACAAAGGTTTTTAATACCACCATTTGTTAATTTGTAGGCCACTGTGGCAGCTTTTGCAGCAAGTGAGGGACACTCACATCCACGTGTTGTGGAACTGCCCAAGACAGAAGAAGGCTTGGGTTTCAACATAATGGGGGGAAAGGAACAAAACTCACCTATTTACATCTCACGGATAATCCCAGGAGGCATCGCTGACCGTCACGGAGGCCTGAAGAGAGGCGACCAGCTTCTCTCTGTTAATGGAGTGGTACGTTGAATTCACCGCATCACGACATACTCCACAGATGTTACATTTGAGCTTTAGCTTGACAGACATTTCATTCTCTGATCCGTTTCATTGGATCTGTACCAGTTCCAATACTAGTCTGCTTAGGTGGATCAGGTGCATACAACATATTTATTTGGCCTCGAGGATATGCACAGAAATAGTGAATATGAGAAATAGTGAATATAAATGTAAAATAGTTTGTCTACAAAAAAATAAGAGTGCCTTAAATGCTCTTTCACAATAGCTACAGCATTCAGCAGTTGTGGTTGCTGCTCTGCTTAGGTAGTTAAATACTCAAGATCAGCCGAAGACAATCATCTAATTGACTTTATTGCTTAGTTTGTTTTCATTAAAAATGTCCACACAAGTCTTTTTGTATGATAAGTTGAACCAGGTTTATGTTTAAACTATGTTCACTGCAGTACTTGTAAAATCCTGAGGTCATTGTTTCAAGTTACTTACATATCGTGCGGATCTTGAGCTTAAGAGTATATTGCTTTTTTGATTATAAACTTATAATAAAACTTTACAACGCTGGTCATACATCTGTGATAAAATCTTACAGTACATTTCTGTTTTGCTTGTTTTTGCTCCAGAGTGTTGAAGGTGAGCACCATGAGAAAGCTGTGGAACTCCTCAAAGCAGCTCAGGGCACAGTGAAGCTAGTAGTAAGGTACACCCCTAAAGTCCTTGAGGAAATGGAGTCACGCTTTGAGAAAATGAGGTCAGCGAAGCGCCGGCAACAGAATAACTATCCCCAGTAGGATTTTTCCATGTTGATGCCCAACTCCCATGTTTCTCCTCCTCTAGCCTTCTGGCCATCTGTGCCAGTCTCTTTCTTATCTCCCTGCCCCAAAAAAACATAACAAACATACCCAAGTTTGGTTTTAGTTGCCACTCACACATACTGTATATTGTGCTTCTATCCCTCTCTGTAGCATTTTTAATATTAACCATTGTTACTGTACTAGACACTACGACTCTAGACGAACACTAGAATGATTATGATTGTCAGTGTAGGTGGTATCTCACACGTGTGCATTATTTTTGAATTGACAATTTGAATGCAACTTTGAGAACTTTTGAGATCAACTACAGAGCTCTTTTGACTGGAAAGGTAGTGTTTTTAATTCTTTTATCACAGCCACTACCAAGTGCCTCAGGGCAAACACGTTCATCCTATGTACTGTGTCGTTCTTTTTTTCTTTTTAATGGTCAGGTAATTAAACGCTTGTGGCAGGAATTAGTACATGCTTTACAACCGTTACTCTCAAAATCATTTAATTTAGAGGAGATGATGACAGTTTGAATTTGCAGAAAAGACTTAGTTATATGTCTGTTAATAAGGGAAACCACTGAAAGGACACTTTTTCAAGTTGAATGCGATATATTATCTTTAAGGTTTTTCTCTGGGCTTACCCTCTAAGTTTTCTAATGTCATACCACACTATAAAAAGCCCAGCAGGTACTGTAAGTGATGTAATGGGGTCTCAGAAACTCATGAACTAAATTCCTGCCACCACGCAGACGCACATTTTTACTTTTATCAAAGTAATAAAACTTCACAAACATGAACTCTGCAGTCAGCATGACACGAGGTGAAACCTGTCTGGTTAATTTGTATTGATATAAAGCAGGAATTCACTAAATGTCATATTTTTCTTTAGCCAGGTAGAGTACTTAATGAGAAGTCGATTCAACAACATTTGTCTTTAATCTTCGCTAGAAACTGCTTGATGGTATTGTTTGCATCATTTAGTGACAGTACAAAGCAATGTAAGACATTCATAATATCTAGCAATCTCTTTATGTCACAGTAATACCTAATGTGAGCGTTCATCATTGTTTTGATGAATGAAAAGGCATATGTTGATATCACACATTCTGTATATGGCCAATACATATTCACCAAGGCTTTACACAGTGTTTAGGGCGTCATGTCGTAAATCTGTTGCATTGGCATATCATTCATGTCTATTTTTCTGTCTGTTTTTAACATTTTGTTACTCCACATCTTACTCGAAACAAAAAGTGTGTCTTAAATGAACCATCAACTACTTTTGAACTTTTATATCCTGGTATCATAGAGATCTCTAAAAGGTTAATTGTACACAAAATACCACGGCTGGGATAAGGATTAACATTCAAAATATAATAGAAAGCCCATATATTTCAATAATTTAGCAGAGCAATAAGTTGGAACATTTTCCTTCCTGTGTGTTACTACATATTTATTGCCATAAAGTACCTAGACATTTTTGTCATTTTTCTTTTATTATTACTAACAGTCGTCTTTGCTCCATTAAAGCCAAAATTTCAGTGGCACCCATGTATGTATTTGATATAAAAACTGCACATCATGTTAAAATAAGAATGATAATGATAAACATGTTATTACTGAATACTACCAGTCATTGGCAGTTTTGATATACGGTTTTAAGCAGGCCACTGTCAAACCAATTTCAGTAGCCCTCAATATACTGTATTTGTAGGCTTTCCTCCCATGTTTACATATTCAACATTTACCAACAAGGCTTTATTAGTGTGTGCAGAATGCATGTTTAGCTTTAGCTATCATACTGATATTCCTCGTATCATGAGAAAGCATCTTATGATGTGGAATCTTAATTGATAAGTCTGAATCCTAACCTTAATCCTACATGAAACATGTCAATCAAACAAGTCAGCACGTCATGGTTTTCTTTAAAATACTTATTATTGAGTAGAAAACAATAAAAGTGAGTATTCAAGATCTTTTTGCTTTTCCATCAACAATTTCAATGTAATGGTTGTCTGTTAGTACCCCCCCCCCCTCATTTAGTCTTTCAGTGTGTGGGACAGCAAACTATCCCCAGAGCAAATTTAATCAGAGATTTATTCACAGAAGTGTTTTGTTTCCATGGTAGATGCAATATCCTGTACATAGCATATAGCATACCATAAACTAGGCTTTGGCTACATAAGCCATACCATTCTCCAGTCTCAGGATCAACCCATCACATATTTGAGACAGGAAGGTGGTAATGATGAAGATAGTTATTATTTATCTAACTGATGTAGAGATTAAATGGATGGTGGGTAAAGTAACAGAAACACGAGAGTGTACGAACTTTACCTATAGCTTCATTCTCTCTTTGAATGGTGTCATACATGTCCTGAACTGTTTGCTGAACTGTTCTTCAGAAATTAATTTATTTTTGCAGTGTAGTGTTGAGTGGATATCCAGTTTCTGTTTGGTTGTGTAGCTGCTTTTGTGATGTAGTCACTCCAAGGCTTTTCTCCCTCTTTTCATTTGGTGTTTTTGATATTTTATCCACCGTCTCTTAAAATAAGGTTCAATAAGGGCAAACGCTTATGACAGCAGTTGCTCCAACAAACTGTAAATAGCTCATTCAAAAGTAATGAAGTGCAGAGATACTTTTTGGCATTTAAAAATGTTTATTATTTTCTCCAAAATGTGCTTGTATGTTTGTGTGATCTTGAAATTTGTCCTTTTAAAAAAAAAAAAAAAAAGATTACATCACTAAACACACTGAAATGCATCACCAAGTGCTAAAAATATCATTATCAGTGCAAGATCAGGGGATGATTGATGATTTTTTTTCCACAAGCAGCAGTCAGTGATGCTGTGATCATTTTTATTTAATAATTGGAACAAAATTTTTAGTTTGCAAGCAAGTTGCTTTTTGGCATCTTACTTTTGTTTGTTGCAGTCTCTACACATGTCCATCATTACCCTCCGTGTCAACTCAAAGTCTGCTGTTCCTTTTAAATGTCAGGTTTAGCTGCAGGACTATCTTGACTCAAATCAGTGAAAGGCGTCGTTAACTTCTATTGAATTGTATGTTACTTTAATATTGTTGAGCACATAGCCCAGGTGTATTTAGTAGGTGTGCTCCCTTTAATCCATTACTTCTAATGAAAAATGCTGAATTTTGGGACAAAATATAAAACAAAACATACACACAGTACTGCAAGAACTGAATGCAAATCAACTATCTATGCAAGGACTTTTAAAACCTTTGAAAATCTCCTGTATTGGTGCAAAATAGTTGTCCTTTTACTACAGAATGTTATTGAAAATTCCTACTTTAAAGCTGTGTGGACAAATGTGTAATGTAATATGACTTGTTCAAAAATGTTGGGACCCGCTGCACACATTGGAGTCACATAATGTTATGAGACACTTACAATGTTTGTCATCTCATATTGATCACCATCAAGTTAACAGTGAAGATTTCCATGTGATATTAGCCTTGCTATCTAATTAATGATTGTCGGGATGCATGTAGATGAGTAGGCTTATGTGAAAGTGTGGTTAGTAGTAAAACCATTCCACAGGCTACTTTTGAGCATACTTTTGTTTTGAGGAATAAAATTTAGCAGAGGAGTCCGGGGTGTACATAAAAGTTGAAATGTCTTAATATAATGTATAGTTTGTCCCTTGATTGTGTTTTATCCAACATTAGGTATCTAGCTTCACTACTCACACATCTACACACATGTATAGTAAATCAGGAAAAAATGTAATGAGACTTGGTATTGATATTGCACAGTCACACTCTCCACTGAATGTCACTGACCATTGTCTGAGTTAGTTGCAAAATTTTGTGAAGTAGTTTTCAACTTTCTACCCGTTTTCCTTGTCTACATATTGGAATGGCCAATAGAGTATTTTTTATAATACTTTTCTTTTGATATTTTTCTCAATTTTTATAAGTGGTTTTCCTAAAAATAAATACCAGGAATGATTGGTACTTCCATTTTGACTGTGTACCACGGCCATATCAGTGGAGCCTCTCTGAAATGAAGCACTGATGTAGAATGGCTGGTTAGATCTTGTGAGTGTACGAACTTACAGACTAAAGAGAGGAACCGTCCTACATCAGTGCTTCTTTTCTGAGATCTGAACTGATTTTACCTTTCTTTTGAGTACCAAGACCAAACTTGCAACATTTGTGAAAATTTTGATAATGCTTTGAAAAGTTTTAGTCGGTGCTTGTTTAGGATTATTACTTGTAGACTGTTTCGTGTTATTTTGTGTTCTCTTGTTTGTTAACTAATTTACTGTGTTACATTGATGTGGAATGTAAAATGTTGTGATGTAGAACATAATAATAATTGGACTGGAGGCTAAATAAACAGTGCTTAAAATTACGAATTTTTGGGGTTCTTCTTGAACATCTTTTACACACAGCATTTATTTTAGGTTTCAGCTCAGTAACATCAAGAGCAACCACTAAAAGCAGTGAAAGGGTCATGAGAGGACACGCGTGATCCCATCCCTTTATAATCAAACAATAAGATGTTCACTGGCATGTCTCATCAATCAGACGACTTACAGACATATACCAGATGTTTTATAAAAATTTAGAGCATGCACGCGACGCACAGTAAGAGCTCCTTTTGTCCTTTTTTGATATAGACGGAAACATTTTTGCTGTCAAATACTGTTGGAAGAATGAACCCAGAATAAACTTCATCACTCAGTTATTGAGATAGTTTGTTATTTTCTGATGAATGCGCCATGCTGATGTCTACATTTGTGTACTGCAGCAGGTTTTCCAATGAATTGTTTCTCAATGCTCTGCGTCTCTGCTCCATTACTGAATACTGATTACAAACTAATATAGAAACTTGTTAAGAGCAACTTGCCGCAACAGTTTCAATACAAGTTCTAATTTTTCTCAAAAACCTGCAATTTCTTGGTCAAAAAACACATGCCAGGAATAAGTGGAGACATTCAAATATACAAAGATGGACAAAACGATGGGAGCACCTGGCAGTATAATTGGTTTCCTACTAATGAAAAATTCAGTTTTTAAAACCAAAAGAGCAAAGGTTTTAATGCTATATTGAACTCCACTCTGGATATAGTTATGTTTAAAAGGTAGTTCCAGCCAGATGCATCCCAACATACTATAGATGAGAGGAGCTCTGTAACTGGAGCTCAGTGGTAGATCAGGGCTGGTTGCCTGGAACCAAACTGTGCATGTGACAGCGATTCATTAGAGCTGGTTGTTCACACTACAGCTTGAGACCAGAGCACAGCTGCTGGTTTCTTGTGGTGTGGACCCTTTCCATTGCTGAGTCTCATGTGGATGGTTCACTTTGTCTTTTCTGGCAACTGAAATCAATCACACCCAGGAGCAAACACAGCAGCCGCATCAGGGCCTGAGGATGAAGCAGGAGGCCAACTGGATCAGGGGCCAAATCAGCAGAAGGAGCGAATAAGGAATTGATTCATGTTCATATACTGTATAACACACATACACACATTTGACAAGTCAGAGGAGAACATTTATAGATCAAAAGATGCTGGCATTACTGAGAGGTGAGTGAATTGTGCAGAGTTGCAAAAGCATGTTAATTAATTCTAAATTACATTCTGTGATTTGTTAAAACTTAATTTCTAGGATAACAGGACAACATGTAAAGACCTAAATGATCAGACGCAATATGGGGGAAATGACAAAAAGCTGAAAGCTGAGTAAAGCAGCCTGAATGAATCATAGTCCTAATTTAAAAAAGAAAGTATTATAGGACAGTGGTTGCGATGTACATTGGATTTTTTTTATTCTGTTGTAAAAAAAACAAAAAAAACAACAATTTCATACATGGAAGAGAAAGGACACAGAAAAAAAGTAATACAGAAATTCTGCACCATAATGTAGTTACAAATAAAAATATTAAACGAAAATTAAAAGGCCTGAATATGGTGAAATTAACAGCCTGGGTACTTCAAGTACACCCAAAAAAATCCTATCACTATTTATTTTAGAAGATCATGAAATAAATAGTGAAGCCATTCAAATATTTCATACATTTAACTGCTTTTTTCTGGTGCACTGGTGACAGTGAAAACACCATGGGGCAAAATGTAGAACAAAATTATACCAGTAACAATGCAAGAGACTTATGTAAAAAAAAATCACTCATCAAACTCTTTTCAGAGAACTGAATCTGCAATCCTGCCTGTAGGTGGATTCACAGGATTATTTAATCCTGATTTCAGCATGTTAGCCTGGATTGGTAAAGCATGGGGTCCAGGTGTGGTGAACCTGCAGTTTCTACTATAAAATGTTGTAAATTGCACGCTCGGTATATGGACAGTAGGTGTCGCTTCCGCTTTTTGTTGCTATATTCATTGATGAAGCAGAAGAAGAAGAAGAAACGAGGTTTCTTCCGTTTCCACCCACTGACGTTTCTTCCTTTCTGTCCGCGCTAACGTCGGAGTGAACACGCGTTCGCCTGTCTAGCTCAAGTGAGTGTCTTTTTATAACGTAATTAACACACTAATCACTGAGAAAAAAAGCATGGTATCTCCAGAAATAAGTAAACTTCATGCCTTTGTATCTCAAAAACCTGAACCAGCGGCATCTTGGCAGTATTTATTCCTTTTACACACCGCAGCGTCGCGGCAGCTAGCCAAGCTAATGTTAACGGCACCAAGCACACGCCGCCACATGGGTGTAAAAACTGCAGTTGTATTGTTTCTGTTGTCACGTTTTAAACGGTTTGTTCCGAGTACATGTAAATTAATTTAACGAGGCATTGAGCGAAACAGTTGATAACATTCACACTCAAACGATGT